ATGTGAGGACCCAACATGGGAACTATTCAAGATATGCCTTTCTATGCAAACTTTAGTTTGTATATATTTTAGCATCTTAAATGAGCATTTTGCAACCAAGATGAAATATCAACCATCTCTTCAGGTTTTCTATGAATTAACATCAGATCTACATAGGAACAAATGTTATTCTTGTTTTTCTTCTCGATATCAAATGTCCTGAAGCCTTTATGTTTCCCTGGAATGAGGCCAAGTTTCTGAAGACACATTCCAATATAAACATCGTCAGTGGGGTAGAGATGGACCTGGTCAGTTGTACTGTACAGCCTCAGGGCCAGGTGCAGAGTAGAGGAGTCTACCTCCCCCTGCATAAGGTGGGTAGACACCAGAGTAAACAACTTCTGGGATATAGTACTGCAGTTTCTTATCCTGGTGAAGTCCAGCATTGTGGGTCACATCACCTATAAACAAATCTTTGGCTTTTTCTTGGATAAGCTGTTCAAGTAATTGAGGATTTGATGGGTGTTCACAAAAACATCATCATCACCCTTGAAGACAAACTTGGTGTATGGGCAGAAAGTGCTCACCCACCTTAGAAACAGCACCTCCTTCAGAGACAAGTTGAAGAAAGTGTCCTTGTAGTTCCAAAGAAGAATGATCTGGTGCTTCTCACTCTCAAACTTCAGCATGTCTGAAAGGTTGGGGTGGGTGTCCTCTGGGGGTTTCTGGCCCAGCAAGAAGACTCACACCACTATCTAGTTTGCCACATTGGTTCCTCTGCCGCAGGATTCCTGAAATTCTTGACTTCTGGAGAAATGTGGAGTGAGGGACTTGATTACCACCAATAAGAAGTGTTTCTTTGCACACTTACCTTGTTTAAGCAGTGAATAATTTCAACATCTCAAATACAGCAGAAAGTCTTTAAATATGTTCGGCAAATCGTTAAAGCCTGTGACAACTGATGTGACCCCTAAGGTAAGGTTCACAGTAACTCAGATGGCTTATATTGGAAAAATATACTTCCCCTGTCTGGTTTGACCAACGTGCTCAGAGTAGGATTATATCGTGCTTTCAGTTTTTCTTGCTCTGTGTTCCAGTACGCCTGGGGAGAGCTTGATGTCTTCCAGAACTTTTCTTTGGGTATTACTACTGCCCCATTTCCATCCTTTTCTTGACTATTGCTTTTGGAAACGTCCACAGTCAAATAAATGAAGACATCTGCCTTCATCAGAATACCCAACGACTTTATTCTTTGACATCCAACATTCATTTCTCATATCTGTGGCCACCTCTTAGGTACCAAAGGCCTAGGGTAGTGCTCTGCTCAACAGTGCCACCAATCCTAGGGTTTATGAAGCGTTCAAGACATTGGGGATTGTCGGACTCTTAGTTCTCATGGTGTCACAGAGAGGATTTCCTCGAGGTCTCACGTGTCTCAGGAAGCCAGAAACACAAGGTGTCATGGTGCTGGGCTGCAAACCCACACCACGGCCCAAAGGCAGAATACGTGAATTAAATAAATAAATTTGGATATCACCCTTCTCAATTTCCAGTATGCATATAACATTTCTCAATTTGTTAAAAATAAACTTTTTATTTTAGAACAGTTTTAGATTTACAGAAAATTGCAAAGATAATACAAAGAGTTCCCATATAGGCCACACCCAGTCTTTCCTATTACTAACATCTCACATTAGCAGCACATTTGTTACAATTCATAAACTAATATTGATACATTATTAATACAATAACTACAATCCATGTATTTTCTACTTTTTATATTCAAATTATAAGTTTTTGATTTCATAAACTAAGCTAAAATTTTCTACTATGTGTATAAGTATACCAATGAAATACATGAACATTTACACCTAGAGATAGTGATGACTTTTTTTTTTTTTTCCTTTTTTTGACCGGTAAGGTGATCGCAACCCTCGGCGTGATGTGGTCTACACCACGCTCAGCCAGTGAGCGCACCAGCCTTCCCTGTATAGGATCCGAACCCACAGCCTCAGCGCTA